CGGGATCTTGTTCCCAATAATGAAGAGTCATTGCTACAAAAATTAATTTACCTAATTTTTTTTTGCATTGCACAGAGATATACAGTTCCCACATTGTGAACCGCCGACCGCGAGAAGAGCGATAATTATTATATAACGCGCGACAGTCATCCAGGAACTATATGTATATAAAATTTAAACTTATTTAACTTCAAATAACTGCTTTATGCAAAGTACTTTGCTACAATAATGTTAAATATGTCTTAGTTATTCTGATATATGCGCAATGTATGCATTAAATTGATCCCGTCAATATGGATGATTCAAAAAGTCACGATCATGTTGCTTTGATGATTATGTAATTACAGACATCTGTCATTCTCTCGCGTTTGACCACTAACATTTTTACCTTGTCTTATATCCTCGATAGAATCAACTGTTGCATCGATCTCCATGGCCTCAAAATCGTTGGATCCATATAAATTGCCCTTCTTGGCGAGGAATCGCCCGATGGCCCTGGACTGATTATATTGCTTACCATCGATCTCCAGAACCGGCACTTGTCCCATGGGCATGTCTGTTATATTTATAAAATGTCATTAGACATTATTACAGAATAAAGAAGATTAAAGGGGGCATTAGGAGTCGGTGCAAAAAACAGTGCGCAAAAATATTTTAATAATTTATCGACATCGATTTGTTGAATTCACATATAAAATTTACATATATTTATTATTTTGTCTTTATTATTTTGTTTGAATAAGAGAAGAGAGAGTTTCTTTTTTATTTCTGTTTTATTGCAGGAATAATTTGTTCCTTGTGCGCGTTTATAATACAAGCGTGACTAATGATCATCGTAAAACAATAAAACTCGACGGTAAATGCGCAGAATGTATTTTACAAAGCTTTATAATGCAGTTTTATTTTGCAAAATTTTATAACACAAATTAGTATTTAAATGGAAGAGCAATCGAAATTACGACCGTTTTAATCTTAAAATAATATTATATGAGACATACTTGGTTTATACTTCGGCCAATCATCGAAGCTAAATCTAACATCCTCGAATTTGATGCCGCAATAATTTAACATAAATCTAATTGCCTCCCCAAGGCCCGTAACGTCGAAATATATCAGCTTGTACGTCGGCATATTCTGAAAATTGCATAAATGCAAAATTGTAAAATATAAAATACGCGTAAAATAAGATACGTAAAATAATTTGGTTTTTTTATAAAAGTTTTTTTTTATAAAAATCTAAACATGCATATAACGTAAACATTCGCGTGACACGTAATACATATAGCGTGTTATTTAAAATATTCATAGTAAAAGTATCAACATTATATATTTCAATCAATATTTAACTGGGTTAGGTCTTCTTCAAATAATTGTTGACTGTTAACTATAAAAATTAATTAGAAGTATAATCAAAATTTCTTCTATGATCAAAATTTAGTATTTAATCTAGTCTTTGGTATTTAATTACATAATTCATTTAATATCCTTATGACAATCATATTTTACATTTATTTCAAAATAAATAATTTTCAAAAGTATTAATTTCAAGCGTGTCAATTTATATTACATAAAATACTGCAGAACCGAAACACAAGATCGACGAACAAAATTCAATGTAGTTCAATGTAGATTTCGGGAAAAGTAAAGTATTGATAAGTGAATCTGAATGGCGTTTATCAACACTTCATAGTTTCCGAAATCTTATCTATTAAATTTTTTACGTTAATAGCCTTATGTTTTAACTCCACAGCTAAAATTAAATACGCCTAATTTTAAGTATTTAATAATATTAATAATACTCGCTTATATATATGTATATATTATATTTGTTCTAAAAATAGGTTGTGAAATAGAGAAGATATAATTTCCTCACTACCTTGCAGTCTGTAATCCAATCTCTCGTAAAATCAAGAGTCTAGCAAGAGATCTCTAGCAATCGATGCAGAACTACTCGCAAACCGAGAACAACTGACGTTTCGTTAGAACTTTAGTAATTTACTCCCCACCGCATATTTTATTTTAAAGACATCTTATATCTGTTAAATTTTTAAATGCAATTCCAGAGACATCTCAGTAAAAAATATCCAGAATATCCAATAACCCAATATTTAAAAAATATTTAAAAAATATCAGCACACAATATTTAAAAAAATATTTCTTAAATATTTTTACATTAAACAAATATTTTAAAAACATCGTCTGCTGATTGGGAAGACATTAGAGATTTAAAGACATTAGAGATTTAACAGAAGTTGAGATTGATTATAATTATAATAAATATTATAATTTAATGATTGTGGTATGTAAATACCGCTTTTAAATAAATAAGTTTCTAAAACATATATTCAGAAAAATATGCAACTAATAAAATGATTATACGATATTTATACATCAATAATAACATTTTTACGTATAATTGTGCAATACATTGCAATGTGTATTGCATATGTACTTGTATTCGCGATGATCATGCAGTTATTATAAGATTTATCAGAGTTTATCTCAATGAGACGCGATATTGACATTATCTATATCATGCACAATCATTACATAAAAGATAAATGTTTCGTGATTCCTCGTCACGCTATTAATAACTTGTTATGACTTGCTATTTTACGTGCATAAAAAATTGAAAAAAAATATGATGAAAGTTGATCAAATAAACGTTGAATATATTAGAGTATTAACAGAGTATTCATAAACAAAATTTTAATATTTGAAAAAAATATCAAATTTAGAAGTTTATTATATATATAAATTATAAATTAAAAGCACATATATATATATTCAATATTACAAAAAATAAGTAACAGATAATACAAGGAATTCATTAGCTCTTTTCTTGAATTCGAATTTGCGAGTTTGTTAATATATCTTTTAATATCAGTCAATCGTTATTTTCCGTATGATTAAATCTGTAATTGAGGAATATATTGGTTAATTAAATCTGTAATTGAGAAGTACATAAATGAAAATATTACTCTTTCTGTATTTATAAAGTGTAGGCGTAATAAATTTTTTGAAAAATATGCTTACAAAGACGATATATAAAACTTAAAAAAATATAAATTAATTAGAATTTTTTTCAAACATCAAGAATATTCTTAAGAAAAAATTCTGTTGATTTATGTTAATATTTTATCATGTTTTTCTTCGTATAAAGGCCAGATGTATCCAATGTAATTGTCACATTGCAGCATAATATGAACATATACATAGCCTTCTCACATTTCTAGTTACTCATTGTCGGTGAATAGTCATAGACCCCCTGAATTGTAACTATGTTGTGCGACCTTCGGTTGCATTACAGTTATACATCAAGATAATATAGCACCTAGCAACCGCAAAAGCCGCATCACGACATGACTAAAAAGGTACTTCCAGTGCTCTATCTGTTCATAAAAGCAGATAGTGCGTTATCAACGTTTCGCAATCGTTAAATTAATTATTTGATATATTTTATTTACTATGCTCCTTTTATCAACAGCACTTTAGAGGCAGATATCTATTTATGAATTAAATATGCGACCTTTTGGCTATTAAATATTTGATTACGCTCAATATTGCTGTCAATTTTCTTCGATGAGAATATTTTACTGAATGCCTAACTGTAATTAAATTATAGCAATTTAAGTACAAAAATAATTGTATAAAATAAGAAAAAATAATGATACAGGAATATAAGTGAATACAGAAATGTAAACAGATTGAAACAAATAGAAAGATATAAGATTTTGTAAATACGAAATATTTTATTTAAATCAAACATCAATGAACAATCAACTCTGTCGAAAAATGAATCACTCTCCGGAATTCTACATATAATGACACGTGTAATTTTCATATGTAGTTGTTAGGCACTTCTCGATCCAACTATTGATGATCGGAATTTCCTTTTTCTTTATGAGTTGCTTCAAAAGTTCTCGTATGTCTTAATGATATTCACTTTCATTAGGAAGTTCATGTAATCTAAGAGATTGACAAAAGTGAGATCAACTCATGTCACCATCAGCAAAAAGCCCACCGTCAACAAAATAACAAAATCATTTTTTTTTATCTGAACGTCCAGACGCTTCAAGTAAAACGGCACCGTTTCATCACTAACTTTAAGTTACTGTTTTTTTAGCACGTTTATAGCACGTAAATTAAAAAAAAAGCAATAACATCTAATACAAGCAACAAAAGAAAGATAAATAAAGTGATGACAGTCTGAATATTTTTAATCAATGAAATTTTTATTATCGTTTATGAATATAAATCATCCATATTATCAAGATTTCAGTACATCACAATCGTGATCTGCTTTCAAAGGAATTTCTGCTTCCAATGAGTTCGGATAAAAATTAAATACATAGAATAGTATTTACTTTGTCATAAATCTCGTATGATTCTGACAGTTAAATATATCAATACTCATGTGATATTAATAACCGATTTTCAATAATTCTCAATCGTTTTTGCCGGGCCAAATCCGCATTGTTTCATGTTATCAATAGTGATGGTCTACTAATAATAAAAACGGCTGCTAAATTCTTCCATTGTCTCTACCAGTTCAACACACCTCCACTTTATCATTGAGACAAGATTCATTTCTAGGAAAAAACTTTCTAAGAGTAGAAATTGCTCGGTATAATCCAAAAAAATTGTAAAAGCATCAAAGACGGTTCAATGTTTCAAATATGCCTTAATCATCCTTAAATTTAATTAATATATCTTCCAGATTTTTTTATGTTATTTGAAATTAGAAATAAAAGTGCATTATAAATAACAAATTAAATGAAAAGGTAAGTTTCGCGAATATGAAAGAAATCAAACAAGAAAATAGTAAAAGTACAGATTTATTGAAATACAAAATTATATAATGAAAAAAATAGCTTATTCTTCAAGATTTGATTAGAAATTATCTTATAGTTTTACTATTATATGACATATAACAATATGAGTAATGTCAGCCTTTAACAAATGTTAAAATATATATCTATATATATCTTCAGTGTATCTCCTAGTTCATAAATCAATCATATATATGCTTTTCGATAGATATAAACGCGTTTGAAAAAAAAGAAAAATCGATAATTTATCAATCATCAATGACGATAAATCTCTGTCAGAAAATTATCATTTTATGAAATCATGTATGAAATCAACCGAATTAATTCGGTGAAAAGATCGCTGGCGGACGCTTCTCGATCCAGTTTTTGATAGCCGGTACTTCCTCTACTGTCTTTTGGAGTTGTTTCAGATTCTCATACTTCTCAACGATGTCCTCCTTCATCATGAAATTCAAATAATCCAAAAGACCGACGAAAACTAAATCAGCCCATGTCAAAGAACCACCGACAAAGTAACCACCATTCTTCTTCACCTGTGCGTCTAAACGCTCCAAATAATATGGCACTAACTCCTTGCTAGCTTTAAGTTTCTCATTTTTAGCTGTTTCATTGCTCTCATAGTGAAAACTAGCGATACCTAATACAAGCAAGAAAAAGACATAAGATAAAATAACAAACAAATCGAATCAAATATTTAGTAAGTTTAACGAAAATGTAAAAAAAGTTCTTTCTTATATTACATCGTTTGCAAATAAATCTGTTTATATTATTGAGATATACATAAACTCATCAATATCGTGATTCAAATCTATTTTAAAATTAAATCTCTGCTTCTGATAAACAAAAGAGTCAGGTAAGTAAACAGAATATTATACTCACTGGCGCGTACATCATGGATAGTGTCGACAGTAGAATCTATTTCCAAAGATTCCCAATCGTTCTTGCCGGCAAGACCACATTGCTTCGCCAAATAACGGGAGATAGCTGTGGACTGATCGATTTTCTTTCCATCTACTTCGAGTACAGGTACTTTACCGAATGGCATAGCTGAAAAATGAATGCAATGTACTGTTAAAATTGAGCAAAGTTTATAATGGAGATCATTAACTTCTAGCCATCTAGATTATTGTGACAGATTTATATCTACAGTAAATGTCTTTTAAGAGCTGTGATGGTTAATAATTGTGCACAATTAAAGTTAAATATACACAATTATATTTTTTTTCAAATTCGAATTTAACAATACAAATTCTAATTTTTATTCTCATGACGATTTCTTTTTCTTTTGTACAATTTACAGACTACTCTGCTATCTTTTATATGGATCTATGATGCTGAAAGATTTGTATTTCAAATCCTATAGCATGTATCGATTGATTAGCTAATTTAAACACAGAAACGATTTCCTTACATATACTATTTACGTTGAAACCATACAATGAAAGCCACAATGTTTTTCATTGACTGAACAAAGACACTGTATTTACATAACAATATCGGTTTTCCTATTGCAGTATATAATAAGAAATAAAAGGCTCTATTGTAAAAAAAAATAATTTCCGGTTCTGTTATATAAAAAAAAAAACTAAAGGTACATATCCCATTAAGAATCAAACTGGCATCAAAATATTTTATATTAAAAAATGAAGTATGTTATAAGGAAAATTAATCGGCGCTGATAATAACAATCATATTTTTATCGCAGATCTGTTCATAAATCGGATTCAAGGATTAAACTGGATTAAATTCGCAACAGGTGAATAACAGTATATATTATTAGGATTAATCAGATGTACATACTCGGCTTAAGTTTTGGCCAATCATTTCTATCAAAACGTTCATCCTCAAACTCGATGCCAGCATAGTTGAACAGGAAGCGAATTGGCTCGGCCAATGCCGTGATGGGGAAGTAAATCAGCTTGTATGAAGGCATATTGCTAAAAAAAAAAAATACTTGTTATTTTTCTCTTCAATATAATTCTAAGAACATACAGATATTTCAATGCGGATAAAATGCTTTAATATTTTTTAGTCTTATTAAAGAAGTTTGTTTGCTAAGACTAATTCAAATTTAAAATTTATTTTTTATTGACATTTAATTTTAGGTTTAATCAAATGTATATAAATTAAAATTTATATACTGGATTTTAATCCTACGTCTGCTGCAATTTAGATCTTTTTTGGCAAAATTTCTTTCAAATTTCTCGATAATTTTTGTTCAAATTTCATTTCTCATTAAATAAATTTTTACATTTGAGTTGAAAAAATTATTTGATAATGTATATAATAGATATTGGAAAATAATTTTAAATGTTTTGAAAGTCTAAAACAATAGAAAAAAATTTAAACTGGGCAAAAAAATTCAGATGAATAAAGCAGAAGAAATAAAAATATAAATACAGTCGAAGGATTAGAACCAATTTTTAATTAATATCACCATTAAACCAAATATTTAAAAGCTAGATTTCAAAAGAAATTTTTAATCAATATTGTGTTCAACCATTAAATTGAAATTTCAAGTGTTCAACTATCAAATTAAAATTTTAAATTAAGTTAAAATTTCAATTTAAAATCTGAAATAAAACTATCATTAGAACAGATTTTTTTATAAAAAGTATTGATCCTTCAATACTAATTATTAAAAATAAAATTATTGTATGCAATATTGTACACAGCAAATTTTGAATCCAAAAGAGCTCACTCAGTTATGTAATCATTACAAGTCCTTTTTCTTATCATTCTTATCAAACTAAACGCATATTTAATTATATTGTACAAATATTTTTTTGATATACCATATGATATTCTTTTTTTTCAACCTTTGCTCAAAACATATTGATATCCCAGGTGGAACACATAATAATATCATAAAACGTCATCATGACTTCATTTATCACTTAAGCGAACTTGTAAGTGACAAATAGATCATGAGAAATGATGTCCTTGTGGTATTATTAACTTACTTGTGTTCTACTCGTTCTGCTCCTACCTAGAACATCACTACGCAATATGTTTTACGCATGAAAGTTGCAGAGAATGAATTACACATACTGTATCCAAAAATTCTTGTGCAATATGATATCGTATTTATAAATTGATAATAAACCTCTGATACATAAAATCTACAGAGATAAAAATATAAGTTTTTATTTAAAATATTTTACGTGAGGATGCAAGGAAATATATGCACATTCAATTGATGTATTACAGTTCTCAGATTTTGTAAATGATAATTCTTATTAATCACGATTTATAAAATATGCTTTGTGAAATAAGGTTCTAATATTCGCGAAAGACGCCATTGTTGAGGCGTTTCCTCTTCTAGTTTATTCTTAGTTCGTACTTATATTTTCGCTGTAACACGACAATTTCCAAATGCCATGACTATTCTGAATTCTTCGAACAGATCTTGACGTTATTATTGCTTTATCATGGTAATAAAAATAATTTATCCGCTACTATAAGCCATTAGTCTGCAGACTTAATTAGCCGGGCGGTAACCGCATATCATTTTTGCTCGAAATCTTCGACGCAATATGGTGCAATATGCCACAGTCTCTACAGTTTCGACCTAGCTAAGTATAAATCTGATTAAATAAGAATAGCGAGTTCTACTTACAATTTGGCAGATTCTGCGAAGATGAAAAAGCGTTTATTGCGCTAACGGCGTTGTAGAACCGACCAACCGGACAGATCTGGAAGATTTTTTGCCGGCAGCCTGTTGAACTCCTTTATTTATTTAACTCCTTACTCCCTACTAGAGTTCGACATCCCCACCGATCTCCACTCGTAGCCAATAACTGCGTTTGAGAAATCACGCTACAACGCTATTGTATTGCCATCTTTATCATTCATTTAACGTAAAAACAAAGATGGATGCACAGGCTAATGGCGCGCTCCTTGAATACAGTCTTTCGTCGTTTCAAACGTGGCTCACTTTTGAGATTTAGAGAAAAGTTATTTGATAAACAAGCAAAATTACTTGAGATAATTTAAAACAAAATTTCACGTTCCAATTTTCAAACGTATTTTAGCCACTCTTTAAATATCTTTCAAATATCACTCTGTCTTTTGCATTGTTTACGTACACGTAAAATTATTCTTCTAACATTATTCGTGAATAGCAATGCTAACAAAGATAGTTATATAATATTATATGTATTGTTGAAAAGGGGATCAAGGCAATTGGAAATATCCATCCATATTTTTTTTAAACATATCTTAATAAATATCTTAAAAATTATTATCATTCATATTTGTGAGAATATTCACGTGCTCAATATTTTAAATTAAATGTAATTTGCATTGACAATTAGATATTCTTCAAAATATTAAAGACAAAACAACGATAAAATTTTATTTTTATATTTTATTTTTATATTTTAAATATATACATTTAAAATAATTTCTTTTTTTAATATAAAAAAAGAAATGATAATTTTAAGCAGGGAAGTTATAATTTTACAGCTACTTTTGTCATTATATTTCAAAACAATGATTTGATAATGACGTTGCACATTTTTGTGACAATAAAGCATCATTTCAAGTGAATTACTCCTTTCAAAATAATGCGTAACGATGACAGGGGGGAAAAGTTCCTACTCAACATTCCTAATTTTAATTTTTAATTATCACTATTGTCATAAAAAAAATGCAACGTCATTACTAAATCTAAACATACTAAAATGCCATTGTTTTAAAAAATAACGACAAAGCTAAAATAAAAGATAAAAGTAACTTTCCATCTCTGATTTTAAGTAATAAAATATTTAAAGAATGGCTAAAGTACCAAATGACGATAAATTAACTTGATTGCTGAGATGTACACGTTCGAGCATTTTTAACGAGGGAATGTGTATAATTTTATAATTTAATATAATTCGAAAGTGAATAAACTGTTTGAGTGCAAAATGTATTTATTTAATCATGTTGTATACACGAATTAAATCTTGCTCAATATATGCATATACGTATACGTATTTGTCAGTTATGAAGTTTATAAAAATTATTTTTGACATAGAATAAACTCATAAGGATTCATGACTGACTTTGCACGATTCAACAGACGAATCATCTACGTAATGATTACGAGATCGTATATACAGAAAATAACAATTCAATAATTAGAATATAAAGTTATACACATATATACATATATATATTATATATACATATATGTATATGTATACTTTTGTATAACAGTTATACAGAATAAGATTCTGTCGTATAAAAATTCTGTATAATAAAAATTTCTAATAATTATAAGATACAAATATACATTCTATACCCATCTTCCCATATTGTGACGTAGGTACAATACAAAACATATATACTTATCTCAATGATTATTGAAAGATAAAGCAGAAAGATACGTAGCTATACTCGAATGTAAAATATATCTTGACAAGTATTGTTAAAAAAAAAAAAAAGATATTTATCACAGTAGTCTTGATTCGCGTTTCGCTCGTACGCTTTTCTAAGTGTGAAACATCTGCCCGATGATGGAGAAGTTCCTGACAGCGGAACTCATTTCGGAAATATCAACATTTGGATGCAGACCTGATGAGACAACTGTGGTTGCGTTAGTCGCTGCATGCGCGTTCATTCGCTGAACGTTATCCACGTAGTCTTTGTTCGCCTGTACATTCAGAGTACTGTTAATTACGTTTAGGTGAGCCTGAGGCAGCGTAGTGATGATAGGAGCGACAACCGAAGAAGTGGACGCCACTGAAATGCCGCCAGTGGTCTGAGGAGATTGACTATAGGAAACCTGTTGTTGTTGTTGTGCATTTTGTACAACTCCCGACTGATAATTACTGAATTGCGCCTTGCATTTCTTTTCGTGTACGAATAAACTGCCAGAATGGCTGTATGCAGTGCCGCAGATCTTACACGCGTACGGTTTCTCGCCTGTATGTGTGAATCTGTGCTCCTTCAAGTACTTCAACCGACGGAACGATTTGCCGCAGGTCTTGCAATGATAATTCGCCTCGCCAGTGTGCGTGGTGATATGAGCCTTAAGGGTGCACGATTTGGCGAAAGCGGCGCTGCAGTATTGACAGACGAACGGTCGATCGCCCGTGTGAGTCCTCTCATGATTGATGCAATTCGAGTTGGACGTGAAGCCACGGCCGCAGTACTTGCATACGTGCGGCTTGTAACCTGTATGTGTTCTCATGTGGAACATGAGGCCGGTATTCTGCCGAAATGTCTTGCTGCATATGTGGCATAGGAAACGCTTGAAGTTCGCGTCCTGCTGCTCCTTGGCGCGCTCATGAATTCTCAGATGCTTGTGCAACTTGATCTCCTTCTCAAATGACTTGTTACACTCCTCGCAGGTGTACGGCTTTGACTTTTCGTTGCCTTTCTCCTGATCCTTGTACGCGCAATTACACACGGTACCGCAACTCGTGCAGTACTCGTTCTGTCCTCCGTGCGCGTTCATTTGATGTTTCAACAAGGACTTCTTCGTGTCGTATGATTTTCCGCAGATTCTACATGGGAAACCCTTACCCTCGTTATCGGAATCCAATTCCTCTCTTATCCAAGTGTTTATCAGCTTGATGGCTGATTTGTCGTCAGGCGGTTTCTGTGGCTCCGAACACATCTTGGTTTCATCGTGACCATACCGATCCATGTGACTCTTCAGCCTATCCTGTCGGAAGAACTTCATGTTGCAAACATTGCAGACGTATTTCTTCTCATCGTGTATCAGCAGATGACGTTGAAGCGATCTTTCAGTACGATAACTCTTGCTACAGTGTTTGCAGTTGAAGAGCGACGCGTCGTCGAAAGACTCTGTCTTGTCATCGCTAGAGTCGCTGTTTACCAAATCCGAGTCTCTTAGTTCCACTTTTGTATTGTTACGTTTTCGTAGCTCTCTCGTATTGCCGTTGTTTGCACTTCGAAATTGTCCATCATGTGTTACTTGTTCGTTCTCGTCCAGCGTGAGCGACGTTTCGAAAGACTCTGGATTATTTTCCAATCTTCTCTTGTCCCGTATCTCCTTTAGTATAGAGAAAACGTCCTTAGGATACGCCTTCTTGTGGGTATTCAGATGCCTGACCATAGTGTCGATTTTTCTGAAACTCTTGTTGCAGATTTTGCATAACACCGGTTTCGGCTTCTCCTTTACTCTGTGCAGATTAATGTGCTTATGCAATTTATCCAGACAGAAGAATTGCTTATCACAGCTATCGCATTTGAACTCTTTATCATTATGAGTCGATATGTGTCTATCTAAGGACTTTTTACTGGAATAAAATCTATCACATTTTTGACATTTATATTGCAATTCCACTTCGGATGCTCTGTCCATTCTGCCATGAACGTTTCTCGCCTTTGTTTGATACTCGCTGTCGCTGCTGTCGCGTTTGACGTTTACACTCTTTTTGATGTATCGTCTCTGTCTCTCTTTATAATTCCTCAAATTTTCTATAGACGTGACCCTTTTAAACATTATTCTTCTCGTTCTATAGCTATTCTCGTTTCTTGTTCTATTAGCTATTTTGTCATGTTCTACTTGTTTATACTTACTACTGTCTAAATCTACTTCATTGTCTACTGAAACATCATGCTTGATTTGATCAAAAGCATCTGGTATTTGTTCTTGTCTCATAACATTTGATTGCATAATGCTTTTCTCTATATTAACTTCATTATCTGCATTTAATTCTATATTGTCACTCAAATTGATTGCATCCAAGATAAAAGATTGGTCAGTTTGACAACACTGGTCCTGCAAAGTAAAATATATGTCAGCCCGAACAGTATTGAAATTATTATTTTAAACGAAGAAAAAGGCAATAAGAAAAAATGAAAACAATTGTATTTTCAATCATATAAATTATCCAAATGCTTCGGTTTAAATTAAATCATTATCAGGCTTGTCCCCTTCTCTATTTAATTAATTATTAATTCCCTGAACCAGTTAGCTACTTATTATTATTATTTTATTCATATAGAGATGAAAATACTTTTGTTGGAATGCTGGCAATGTTTGTTTTCAAGGATTTCCCATACAACTTCCTGAGTTCTACGTCTGCTTTTTGACATTGTTTCCTCAATTCATAGGCGACGTTGACTTTCATCACGCATTCGAGGCAGATACTAGTCGGCAGGCCATCGTCTTCCAGAACCTGAATAAGAAAAGAGATCGTCTCATGTTTTGTATGCAAAATAAACAACAGGCGCAGGTGGAAAACAAACCTCCACGCCGCAGCATAGCTGCAACTTCTCGGACAACCCGGATGGGCTCTCCGGATCGTCCCAGTTCCTGCGGAAGATGCACTGGTTATTGTGATCCACGGTCAGGCAAACGCGGCAGAGACTGGTGTCTGGATTCGTCAACATGCCGCTGTCAATCTGCATGGAGACCGACATGTGCGGACGAGCTTCCTCTCTCCTCTCCGTCGTCCTCGTTTCCAGAGGGAACGCGAACGCGCTGAACGTTCGTCGAGCGTTTTCACGAGCTCGGCGAGCCTCGACGCGACATCATCATCGGGGACTCCGCAACACTGGCCGTCACAATCGCATACAAGCACACACGTCGTCAATGTCGTCACTGCTTTTTCTCTTTTCCTAGTGACTGCGTCCCTGGACGCGATAGCTTTATCAGCGCGATCTGCTGTCGCTTGCTCGAACTAGGTTGTGTTCAGTTGTACTCACGGTTTGCTGATCAGTTTGACAGTTTGTTCGAGGCATGTTGTAGCTGACGTGTTTCCAATTATCCATTTTTGTTAGAAGACTGTTATTCTACCATCGTTATGCCTGTAAGTCCTAACACTTTGCATCAATGCAAACAATATTTCAAAATAAATGGCAATACTAAAGGGCGTTACCCATTTATCATAACCAAAGTGTAGAGTCTCTTCTTTTTCAGCCTAGATTTTTGTTATTATTTTTTTCTTTTTTTATGAAATATTCACTAAATTAAAAATTTTCGCGTATAGATTATATTATGATTGGGTGACAGTTTTTGAAGACAGAATAATAATGTAGAACCAGCTTGCAGTCTATGGTATCAGTATTCGTAATCAGTTTCTTATTTTAATGCTGATTCTACAATGAGTCTGTAGTCGGAAGTCTTATACCCAATTTCTTCATCTCTAGATAACTTTATCCAAGAGATATCTCTCAGAATACAATGGAAATATCTCCTGGATAAGGTTATTCGCAACTTATCTGGAAGTGAAGAAATTGGGCATTAATCTCAATTCTTCGACGAAATTGGCCAATCAATGTTGATTGTATAAGTTGACTTCTTGGTCAACTTCACTGATAAGACTTAAGACTACCAACTACTGACTCATTGTAGAATCAGCATAAGATCGTCTTAAGTAATGTCTGAAGACGCTAATACAGCCTTCTGGCTAGTATTCATAGCCGGATTTTATATTTAAGATCGTCTTAAGTACAGTCTTAACCCAGCAAACGAGAATGGATTAAAATGGATTGAAATTTTTTTTTATCTAAATGCGTATTTTAAATAGCGAATACTTTTTTTGGATTTAATTGGATTCAATTAGATTTAATTGGATGCAATTGGATTGAAAAACTGTATTTCCTATTCAAAATTTTTGAATTGAACAGTATTTTCAATTGTATTTGTGTACACAGAAAAAACTAATATTATTTTTAGATTGAAAGCCATAGAGATATGCTCCATGCAATTCCTATAAATGAATAAAAATGCATTCAGGATTGAAAAGCATTCATTTTAACATTCGTAAATCAATATTTCTGAAAATCTGAATCCATTTCAATTCATTTCAATCCATTCTCATTTGCTAAGAACTTGGTTGATATTCATAGTCCGTTACTTATTTTAAGACTGTCGTAAGATGCTAATATTACTCTGATTAATTCATAACATTTTCAAGACTACTTACTTTAAGACTGTCTTAAACCTAAGAATCGACTATGAATACTGACTACAGAATACACCCATATTTGTATCTTAAGACATTACTTAGAATATCTTAAAATAATCACGAACTATAAATATCAACCTACAGCAACCTGGTTATTAATCCAGATTATTAATCCATCTCGTTTGTAATATCTCAAGTACATATTTTACACATTACTCATAATATTTTAGGCGTATCATTCAAGTTTTACAAAGAGCCATGGCACTATTGGAAACATGGCATTGCTGCCGATCAAAACCACATTCAGGGGTCCTGCACCTCCTTTTAACAACAAAGAACAAGATATCATTGACGAAGCGTTATATTTCTTCAAAGCAAATGTATTTTTTAGGACATATGAGATTAAGGTAATATATTTAAAAGTAGTATTTTAAAAGTTCTATTCTATCGTGAGACAGTATAATTCCTGTATACATCAAGCTGGATTTTTATTACAGAGTGAAGCTGACAGAGTTTTAATCTATATCACTTTATTCATTACTGAATGCCTGAAGAAGCTACAAAAGTGTGCAACTCAACCACAAGCCATGAATGAAATGTTTTCCCTTGCTATCTCCAAATTTGATATTCCTGGCGATCCCGGCTTTCCATTGAATTCAGTATATGCCAAACCAAGCAGTCCTGCTGAAGCTGGTAAGTAGTGAACTTATTGTTTGGAAATTAACGACTAATATAATAAGATATTTCTAGACAATACGATATTTTTACTTTCAATTTTAGATCTTATGAGGCAATATCTTTATCAAATCAGGCAGGAAACGGCTGTTAGAATTGTTGAAAAAGTATATGGCGAGGATGGGAAGCCGAGTAAATGGTGGCTCTGTTTTGCGAAAAAGAAATTTATGGACAAATCACTATCTGGACCCGGTCAATGAGTTATTTTCCTTATGTTGTTTTAAATATGTGCATGATTAAAAAATAAATCGGTTAAAAAAATCATTTTTATCTACTTTTTTTACATTTCCTGCTTAAGATTTCTTTATTTAAAATTCTATGGATGCAGAAAGGGAAATTAAAGAAACCAAAATTTTACAAGTTTTAGGAAAGAGATATTTATTTTTTTTTACAGGATACGTCACGATATTGATACCAAGTAAGCAATAAAATGATGTATCTTGCATAATGGAGGTTACAAACAAAATAATTATCGTTTTCTGCGGAGAGACAATGTGTTTCGTCTCTTCCAGGCCGCACGACGCGAACCACCGATCGTTTGCGAATAGCGATGTCCTTTACCTAATCCACGAGAGCTCCTGCCGGCGGAAGTCTTACCACGGAGTTCACGGTGCTTATGCACCGCATTGCATATCCAATTTACCTTAGGATCATTACGAATTGCCTGGAATGAAATCAGGAAACGTTAAAAGTATATATGACAAACAAATCTTTAAAAAATAATTCTCAAAATTTATGTTGTGTTCAGACATCCAAGGAAGATAAAAAATCATGTGTTCATTCATTGGTAACATAAAATGTCATCATATTGTCAAATAAAAAAAAAGTATATCAGATATCAGTTCGAACATAATAATAATAATAATAATAATGTTAATAAGAATAAAACAATAATTTTACTTTTTAAGGATAACGAAAGCTATAAATTTGTTTTGAATATTACCTTATGAGCAGGATCAATCAGAATAACTTCATAGTATTTGTACGAAGAGTCTTGGGCTACCCAGTAACTGTTCAGCACTCGCAAGCCACCACAACGACGGCCAACACGTTCCTACAAGGAAGCATTGTTAATGAAAAATACTAGTGAAAAAGAAAGTGCTAATCTTCAAATTAATAATAATTTCAGACATCCAAGGAAGAAAAAGAATCAATGTTTTTCATTATTAACAAAGCTATCATCATTTTTAGAAATACACAAATACAAATGTAAAATAAAAGTTTTTAAAATAAATATTAATAAAGCTATAATTTCTGTAATTAAAATGTCTATGATCAGAAGGTACAACTGCTTCCCCATTTTAAAGTAAGAGTGGTGCATGGTACAATTCATCATATATGATTTCTACGATTTTTTTATGCTACTTATCTTTTGTATTCCCATATCTTACCTCAGCAACTGACTGTAGTTTCCTGGTTGGTTTCAACTGGTTGACACCATGGCTCTTGGGCTTGCCATAGGTCGCACCCTTAGGAACTGGACGCTTACGTCCACCGCGACGTACACGGATTCTGAAGATAACAAAACCTGTACAAAAATAAAATTTTGCATTTATTCTCCATTTAAGATTGTATACATATAAAATTAATTTATCAAATATATCAGTAGATGTAATAGGTATAATTCTCTCCACAAAACTGTCAGAGTGGTGCAAGTACAAATCATCAATTAATTTTCACGTAGAGTATCATATAAAATCACGTATATTCTGTATCAGGCATAATAAGACAGTTAAAACGATATTGTTATATTACATTGAAGAATTGCTTATCGGTTTAAATGTAAACTAAAATTTATCAGTCGTGAAACTAGTTGTCATAAAATAAATATAAAAGACATTTAAATCTTAAAAAAAAAAAACAATAGTTTGGCAAAATCAAGTTTCTCTATAACTACCTATAAATTATAAGAATATACATTAGTCGGTATTCATATCCATTCTTATTTCAAGACCATCTTAAGTAATGTCTTTAGATGCTAATACAATTCTGTGATTGGTTCATGACTACTTTTCGTCTTAAGACTACTTAAGACAATTTTTAATATAAGAACCAAATATAAATAAAATCACTGATTCCAAAAATAAAGATTTGTCCACTGTTATATGCCTGAGAAGAAAACATTTTGTTGGATAAGTATATATTATATTACTAAATTTTATACTTGTTCTTTTTGCATAGTTCATCTGTCTTCTTTTTTTCCATATTAAAGAAAAAAATAAAAGGTGAACCATGTAAATTCAGCTAAAAAAAGAGAAAGAACAAGCCTTTGACTCAGTATATTTGAGTATTCTCAAATTGATATTTTCATATGAGCATGTTTTCTATCTAGCAAAGGAATGATGATGCTTACCTTGCTTGGCTTTGTAACCCAAACGACGGGCCTTGTCTGGTCTAGATGGTCTAGGAGCACGATGCATCTTGGTCAACTGGCGATACTGCCAGCATCTGACACGCAGCAAGAAGCGGAGCACATCGCTTTGCTTCTTGCGATAGAGTTCCTGCATATACTTATATGCACCCATCGCGGATTCCTAGCTACAAATAAGATGATTAAACAATGCATTATTCATGATTTCTACGAAAATTTCATATAAACAATTCCTTCTTTTTCTAATGAATATATGCATTTAAATCGTTATTTTCATCGGAGATATGTCGCGAAGTCGGTCAGGAGGAGAGAAACATCGAGCACGAGTGCGGCAGACATCCTCGAGGTTAGCGTTTTCATCGCAATGAATATAATAGATTAATGAGAAGGTCTATGAAAAATATAAGAGGATCTCGAATTGGGAGGCCTGGCAAAAAATCTGCCCATATTCCGACGTTCGTAAAATCAAGGATGCTTGTAATAAAACGCGATTCGAATCACACATCACTCACCCCAAGCGAATTACAACAGAAGGAAAGAATCCGGCTTTCACTGAGGGAGCCACTCTATTAAGATGGCGCGTTCGTTCACCACGTCACGTTCAGAGACCTCTAAAAGGCGAGACGGGAATCGCGTGTGCGAACATCCGTCGATATCCGGAACAAAATGGCAAAACATGAGATATTTATATGTATATTTAATTTATCTAAATAGCAGAGTCCGAAAAGAATTTTTTTTTAATCTCGACTTACGAAATAAATTTCTGTTTCGTCTCATTTTTATTCTAACGATATTCTTGAGAATCCCAAAAGATTTCACTTTTATATTATTCATTGTGAATTGTGAGCTTTTTCAGATTTTATTCTTTTTTTTCTATTTCTTAATTTTGTATTACAATAAATCATTATTTATAAAAATAAATTATTATTTATATATTATTTATATGCATATTAGTAAACATGTATTGTGTACAAATATATATTTGTATATGTTCTTCTATTTATCCTAAACAGAACAATAAGTCACGACGTTGACAAACGTCAAAATGACATTTAAATGAATCGGAAATGATTGAAATGATTTTTAATGATCATTTTGGAATCATTTTGATATCATAATGACTTGTTCTGCTTGAGTTAAATTAGTCCATTTTGAACAGATTATTACTAATTTATAAAAAAGTACATCTTTTATTCATGAATACTTTAAGTTTTAATGGATCGGTTGCATTATCTATGTCTATTATAATTTGCATAATTATTAGCAAAAAAAGTATATCTATTTTTATATGCAGATTTTACTTTTTCTTCCTTGCAATTTTCTCATAATCTAAATTTATTTTTAACTTCTCTTTTTCATCATTACGTTTTTATTTCTTACTTATATCTTACTTGTATCTGATTCAAGTAAGGAAAGGGGTAATATTTCTATTAATATTTTTATTTATCATATATTATTATCACACATTGTATGTTATAAATCACGTTACTATATTTTTAATATTAATAAATTTTTCATGATGAACAATAACGTTTCAGCATTTTCCGGTGACAATCTATTTCGATTATCGTCATAAACCGCCATAACTACAATGTGCGAATTTTTAAGAAGTTCAATTAAAAAGTATAGAATTCTGTATCAATAAGGTATAAAACTTTCAACATGAAATTTTAGATATGTTGTTAAATACTAATAATATTTGGCTATTTGATCGGATAATAAAAAAGTATCAAATAATACCGGGTACTGGATATTTTTCGGATATTTGATACATCCCGAATTTTAAGTGTTATAAAATATACCTATGATTAATTATCAATTATTAATTTATTAATTCGTTAGATAATTTATAAACAACTAACTTTAAACATAAATTTTACGTATCTTCAGAATGTCCTTGGAAAATACTTATAGAAGATTTTATTAGAATTTCTTTTATATTTTTCTGATCCATTTGATGGTAATTTCGATTTTGTTCGATTCATTTAATTTTCTTTCAAAGCAAAATTATTCAAAGAGCAGTCATAGCATTCCTATAATATAGCATATCTATTTTTTCTGATTGAATTTTTTCTAATTAAATAAAGTTTACTTTTTTTTACAATTTTAAATGAAACAAAAGAATATCTCAGTCAGAAATGATTGATTAATCAATGTCGAATCGATGTTGATATATCCAAGAAATTCAGTGATCGATCAACATCCATCGATCGATCGATCATTTCTGATTGAAATACGTTCAATCAATGTATATATAGATTAAAAATAAATAAATAAATAAAAGATATAGTGTTGTGAAGAAAGATTTATGCATCCACACATTAGCTATTGTATCTGATTACATCCCCACGAAGATTCCGCGGCGACGAAACGGCGCGGTCGCAATATCGAGCGACCCGGTGACCTCTGCGACTGGTGGAATTGATTATTTTCAGGTGAGAGAGTGAATCCCCCCTTTGTAATATATGTAACGTCAGCTAAGGCATAACGTCCGACTAAGTAGTTCATCATGGAGAGTCGTTCAGGTAGCATAAAGGATCCGATGTATTATCCTGAGAATGATGGCACGTCGAGCGGTGGTGGCGAACAAGACAAGAGTCAACGCAGTTCGCTCGGCAGCCAGGAGATCAGCCTGGATGACAACAATGCGCTTAAGGTACCTCGCAAATTTATCACCAACTGGCGGCAGGCGTGCGATCGTACGCGAGATCGGACCAAGGACCTTCTGAAAAGATGGAGAACAACCAGCAGCAACGTCGACGAGCTCGCCGTCGCGCCCGTCGTCGCCCCCGAACTGGAACAGCCCGGTTGGAGCGTGCACGTCTGGAGTGAGTTTGTTTCAGATTTTAACTTGTTAATTTTAATCGTTGCTTATTATATCCATCGGTCCGTTCTTTTGGCTAAAGTTCCTGTACGGGTCATCTTTCTTTCTTTTCTCTCCACGTTGAAGAGAAAAAGATAAAAGATGAACCGTGCAAGAAGTTTAGCTAATGCCCGTTTCTATCAATGTAGATTTAACTTTAATCTCGGTTCAACTTACTCTTCATCTTTTTCTTATTCTTAAAACTAGAACAAGATGAAGAGTTAGTTGAATCGAGATTAAAGTTAAATTGCATTGGTAGAAATAGGCATAAAAAGAATATCTACCTCATTTCTATTAACGTAGATTGACTCTAATCTTAGTTTAACTCACTTTTTATCTTTTTCTAGTTCTAAAAGTTAGAAGAAGATATAGAGTAAAACCTCCAGCACACGATGTACGTTTTTCTGCTGGATTATTAGCGTTTCAGTAAATTACTAAAAGTTCTGCGCATTCTGTATGGTCCAATTTTGATTATAATTTACTAAAACGCAAAAAATCCAGTAGGAAAAAAAGCATCATGTGCCGCAGGCTTAAGTTGAATTGAGATTAGAGTTAATTTACATTAATATGTAGAAATGAGAATTAATCTCGTAGTTATTTTTTACAAAATCTGCTTTCAAAAATTCAATTTTTTATTTTGACAAAATTTATAGTAGTATTATTAAAAAATTAATTGTTTTATTTTTTTCTTATTTTCTTATATTTTTATTTTTTCTAAGAAAAAGAAATTTACAAAATAAGTTAATTATAAAGTCAAAAATTAGAAAATTCTTGATATAATCGAGGCAAATCTCATTTTGCATTATATATACAGCGTAAAAGTTGTATTTGTCGGAATTATATTACAAATGTATTAATTTATTTAATAATGTTAATTTATTAGGTGTTGGAATTAATTCGTACGTTTTTTAATGAAAGAATGTTATTTATTTCACATGAGCATTAAAAAATACATTAATGAAAGTACTTCCAATCACTTGTAAAACGCTACGAATTAATTCCAACACCTAATATTTTGTTATTATTTAACAAATAATTGCATTATTATTAATATCTAGTTAATTTATTTATTAATAATAATATTATACTTAAATTATTAATTCATTTATTATTGTTATTTTCTGTTATTCTCACGATGAGGATATTGACCATCAAAATTAAATTAATTATATGATTAACTATGGTATTTTATAGCGACCTGGGTGAGCCGCTTTCCGAGTGACGACAGTTTATCCGCCATTGAATTTAGTAAAAGTGGGGGTTCGGAGACCTTAGCCCCCATTCAACGTGATAAATTTTCTCATTTTTTTACGTACCTCTTAGATCACGATAAAGATGGTTACATCAATAGGAAGGACTTTTCGTTATTCTCAGAGGTACTTTGCTTTCAAAAATTTGATTTTCCATTTATTTTTATAAAATAAGAGTATAATATTTAAAAAATTTTGATTTTTAAATTTTCTCTTTTACATTTCTGTGAAAAAAAGAATAGGAGTCTTTAGTAAAATAACGCACTAGAAATGTTTTATTAATTAGAATCGCGATATATGTATATAAAAAAATATTACATTATTTTAAATTTTATATATCTTATATAATAATTACATATCTATACAATAAAATCGATAACCATCGAGGCATCTATACAAAAGAAATAATACTTTTTTTCGGAAAGCGTTTGAGAAGATTTGCTGATTGGTCATGGAACGGTCCGGAGTACCTAAGGCTTCTGGAAATCGAAAACGGATTCGCCGGATTGGTCCTTCGGGATAAGAAAGGGCTCGAGGAGCTGAATAAAAAGATCGATCTCGAGGCCTGGTTATCCTGGTGGGCGCAGATCGTTGCACCGCCGGACGGTGCTAGTTACAATGATATGCCGTTCTGGATCAAAGTTATGCCTAGAGTATTTTTCCTCGCCATAAATAGCTCCGGAAGTGGGATGATCAGCAAAAAGGAACTCGTGGCCTTTTATAGTTCCGTAGTCGGTTTGGACACCGACAGGATAAACAAGTGCCTGGATATCGCGTACAATTCTATGACTTCGGTTAGTTAGATTTCTAAAATAATTTCGTGAAAAATTAAAATTATAAAGTAATTGTATATCTACTTGATACAGATAAAACTAAATTTTTTATCTGTATCAAGTAGATATATTTTTTTAAATTTTTTATAACAAGAACTTAAACAAATAAATATATTAGGATTTGGAAGATTAAGAAAAGTCATAACTTTAGGGAGTAAAAGTCTCTACACAGTCTACAATAAGCTATTAATTTATAGGTCCACCTTGCTTTGATCTAAATCTGCAACCTTGCTTTAAAAAGCTATAAAGCTGTAAGAACTCGATCAATTACAGTTGAATACGAGAAAAATAATCGACTATGATCAATTTCTTACAGCTTATTGGTTTTTTAAAGCAAGATTTTGCAGGGCCTAAACTAATAGCAGCATTTATACAGAAAGACAATTATACATTTCTTTTATATTTCTTTATTAAATTCTTATTACTTCTTTATAAAAGCAATTGATCCTTAATCATTAAACTTTGTTAATAACGATAGAAAAACTTCGTTTCAGAATGGAGACCATCCTCTTGGCTGGGCGCAGTATCAGTTAATATTCGCCAATTTCTTGTTTGGCCGCGGCCCGTTTGGACCGGGAGAACATTTCCTGGGCATGACGGATGCTTGCATGATTCGCGGTAATACCATACCATTCCCTATCGATTATTCCGCGATGAACACACCGCGGGACAAATTAGAAGTGTACAGTCCTCATTGCAAGAGCAACAGACGAAGTGTCGTAGTCTAACGATGAAGTCATCGTAAGAGAGTTCCTTTTAATTAGTGATGCAAAACGTGCACAATCGTCCCTCGAGTGCCTAATACTGCGTGTTATATGCCGTATATGTTTGATACAAATTTATTTTAGTTACAGAAAGAACTAAATAGGAAAGAATTGAAGGAAATTATATTGTCCATCTTGCACAAGTATATGTACAAAAAGCTCGATTAACTGTTAAGAACATAATTAGTGGTATCACATCCTAATACACTATTACACTGCCATTTACCTTATAGGAACATCATCACGGAAAAAGTAGATCAAGTGGTTCAGCAAAGCTGTAACTTGCTGCGCGAGTTTAACATCTATATCCTTACAGCACATCTATACCCTAGTTGCACAAAAATGACATCAACATTGCAACATTGCAGCAACATTACATGTTGAAGCAATAGTACAGAGATTTTGCGGCGATATTGCTGTAAATTTTGTGCTGTATGGATAATGGAAGAAGTTTTTTTCATTACAGCGATTAATAATTTTGATCTATGTATTGGGTTGATTTTTATAGAAAGTCATCTTTGCTGTATTAACAGTGCTATTACAACAAATGTGATTACCTATAATCGCTATTTTATTTATACAACTTTGCTACTTTAACGTACAAAACTGACTGTTTATATACTGAATATGACTGAAAATTTGCTGTATCAGTGAAATTGTTTTAACAAATCTGTTTTTCCGTGATGAGTATTCTTCACACATAATGTGTCTAATTTAAAAAATAGAACACAAAGAGGTTTAACTGCAGATTAAATTTTAAAAAACGCAATTAAACGCAAAGTGTTTAACTCTGCAAGTAGAAGTATAATCGTATCATTTAACGAAGTGAAAAAGAGATTATTACGTATTTATAAAATTTATTTTAAACGCTTGGCACTTAGTACTTCTTACACATCGAAGTCGCCGCGACACGTGGATGATATTACATGAAAGAAATATGACTTTTGTTACAGCATATCGATCATCGACGCGTAACGGTAAGAGCGTTTCTATGTAAAACGATTATTGTTGTCTAATGAGAAAATAACAATGATATTTTTGTCGACTATTCATGTACTTATAATTATTAAATATTTATAAACAACTCTGTGTCTCCTTCTCGTTTCTACTTCCTTCTCTCCCGATCCTATGTGTAATAATAAGGCATATATGGATCAGGCAATTGGATCACATACTTTCGAACGTCGATGTATCGTTCATTGTCCCCGATGACAATCGCATCATTGCGCATGACGACGGACCGACGACGGAGATTCAATAAATGCACCAACAGTGTGTTATGATAATCAGATATTCTAGTACTTTGGTATTTCCCTTGTTTCTTTTTTCTTTTTATATCGTCTTGGCCCATACCGCCAACACATACGACTCGATCTCGCATTCGTTCGTTCCCCTTTGAATCTTAAAGAGCCCATTTTCTCCCCAGTTGTATCCCCAGGAGTTTACGACCAGCTGAAAAAAAGATTTAATTTAAATTTAATCTTTTTAGCATTTTAAATCACAATAATATACAATACGTTCTACTAAAAAATGATTAGTCGATCAACGTCGATTCAGGTAATTATTCCTAGCGGAATTAATTGTTTCTAATTATTTCAACTTTCCAAAAATTGGGACATTTTTACGATATTCAATGACGTATAAAAATGATATACACTTGTGCCACTTCTTGAACCTTTTTTTCTCTCTTTTACAAATGTTATCATGTTATCATATTATGTTATGGATGTGATATCGTATAAACTTACCCAATATTTGAGTGGTGGACCGCGATAAGACCTTTCCTCGCCCCAACCGATTATTCTCACCGAGTGATAACCGGAATCGTGTAATTCCGCACTTTGAGAGTGCCTATATATTCCGTTTTTGTAAACGAAGAAGTCTTGATAGACTCTCATAGTAGCTGTAAAAAAAAAGACGTTACTTCATATAATATCCTTTTAATATCGCGGAATATTATGCTTCCTTTAGCGGAATATAATGACTTTAAATATCAATACATCTGAAGGAGAATAAGAAAATCAAAATAACGTCATACTGAATCATGAAAAAGACATAAATGACATAAATTATATCAATAATTGGCCGATATGATGTATTATTTTAACTTTCTTGTTTTTCTTGCGATTTTAGAATTTTGATTAATGCGTGACTGTCTAAGTTATAACTACCTTGCACTGGTCCAGAGGTCAAAATCTCTTGCATAATGTCAGTCTCATTGCCCAGGCGATAAGCTGGCCCGACCTTGTATAATTCTGTTCTCAGCGGGTTTGGTGGCTTTCGACAACCGGCGGCCTGTAGGTTGTTTCTCTTACGTAGTTTGCATTGACCGTTCTTACCGGTCCAAGGATAACAGTCCTTATCTACCAGGCTGTCACAGGAGAATTAATGATATTAAAGTCACGTGTTTAAGTAGAAATTTACCACTGTATATTATAAAACAAATCGCCTTTTTAAATATGATATAAAATAGTAATATATATTAAAAAGATTTCTTTAAATTAATTTATTGTCGAATCAAAATAATCTATATTTTATATATATGTGTACTTTTATAGTTAATATATAAAATAATAAAATTTATAAAAATAATATTCTAAATAATCTCAGGGCTCAATAATAATAAATAAACATTAATAACAATAAGGACTACGAATCAGATTTCAATATATTTAAATTTTTGAACAGACGTTTCAATCTTATCGTCAGGTCATTCTCAGTATATACAATATAATAAAAAAATTAAACGCAAAATTAATAAAAATCATAAAACGGTTAGATATAAATTCTAAAATTATAGTTACATGATGGTCGTATTTCAATCGTATTATCAAAATATTACATGATAGAAAGGCATTACATTGTTGCGGTATAAAAAATATATGAAGAAACACAACCATCATGTTAGCGTAACTATAATTTTAGAATTTATATCTAACCATTTTATGATTTTTATTAATTTTACATTTAATTTTTCTATACTGTATACACTGAGGATGACTTGACGATAAAGTCGAAACGTCTGTTCAAAAATTTAAATATATTGAAATCTCATAGCTCTTATTGTTATTAGTGTTTATTTAATAATATTTATGATCAAGAGTATGTACACAATTAGGAATATTGTTTAACATTTGAAAGAGAATTTCATAGTAAATTCAGTCACTTGCATACTAAAAGCCGCTATACATGAAATTGGCAAAATTAAATATAAAAGCATAATGAATATTTTAAACGGTCAAATGGCATTGTCACATTATTTAACACAATATACATGTATTGTTTCATTGTCAAAGTTCATTGTATTATTAATATTACACCACTATATTTAGATATTTTATATTTAGGTACTTTATAAAGCAGCTTTAATGTATACTGATCAATATAGTGACTGAATTCATTCACCATCAGATTAAAAGTAAAGTACCCGAATTTTCTCATGAAGAGCCAAGCGCGGTCAAGATAACCGCCTCTACAGCCTTGTTGTCCTCTATTGTTGCAAGAGAGCAGATGCTGGGCACTCAGTTCTGCGTCCTCGGCACCTTTGCTCATGATCGAGAATCTGTCGGTTGCAACATCGGCCGTGGATATGGCCCAGGACGCGCCGCACCATCCTTGATCATGAACGTTGGATATGTCGCGTGACCAGCGCGTTCTGGAGTCGAACTCCCGCGGCAGTGCATCCGGGTCGTAAATGCGTCGCACCGGGTTCATTTTGTACACCTACGCGAAAGAAAGCAATGCATCATAGAACGAAACGTATACTTTTAGACACGACATTGAATAAATAAATATATTAAAAATCTCTTTAATTCTTTAAGCCAACCTATTGTCGAATCAAAATGATTTATTTTATACTTGTAGTTGAGTTGAAGTTAATATATAAAATAATAGAATCTGATGAAGATTGTGTACAAATTAAGCGAGCTTTAAGCGAAACGAGCCTGGAGCCCCTTTAATCGCGTGTTCCATTTATCTGCATGCACACTGACGAATCTCATTTACGATCGAGGAAAAGATATTCGCGTCCTCGGGCAATGAGTTCAGGCATTTCGGAGGACTAAAAGACGCTGTAAGCAACGTCGTTGGGCGCTTTCTTATTCATAAGAGCCCCGCAGCGAAGTACAAAAGATTGCTTTAGAATTTTAACTTTGGTTGCACAAGTCAAAGCAATTGACCTAATCTTGTGGTAGTATTGCGTCTACAGACAGCCATGAGTTAAGATTGCCTTATTTTGAATTCATCGAGTATAAAGAGAGTTTCATGCAAATCTGCTATATGAAAACTTTCCGACAGCAATTTTTAAATTTGTCTTCTTGAATAATTGATTGTCGCCTTTAAATGTATATTGCTGTGATCAAGATGTTACAAAGATTCATTATCGCGCAAAGTATTTCGTAAATGTCTTATATGCGATAATTTATGGACAGACTTTTGATTACTTAAACCTGATCTCAGTAATAATTCTCAGTCAGAAATGACAATGGAATCGACATCAAATCGATATCGATTCGACATCGAAATCATCAAATTCAACAATGAAATCATCTAATTCGACGTTCAACATCAATTCCATTGTCATTTCTCACTGGATTCTAAAACACTCACGGATTGTGAGGGATTGAGAGTGCCCAGACGAAGCTCTACACCTTCCAGAAGTGTCCTTCCCCAGAATTCGGAATAATTGCTCGCTTGCCAACCTAGAGTTGGCCCTTGCAAATTGAGCTCCTCCATCAACTCCGATTCGATCAAACAGCGATTCTTCTCGCAAAGCACTTCAGCGCGCTTGCCAAGCGAGGAGCATTTGCTGCAATGTAAAACTTACAGAATTCGTACGTACATTTTTTCTCATTTATTTACATTATAAAATTGGAAGAGATGATATTACCATGCGTTACAATTAACTTTAAACGTTTGCCCGTGATCGTACTCTTTTCCTTGGAAAAAGCATCCTGAAACAACACACAAGACTTCAGAAACACAAACTTAACTAACATATCAATAAAAAATATGAACAGTTACATTAAAAGCCATCATTATAAACAATTTCAATTATGCAATTTTAATGTTTGAGACTTTTTTTTTTCAAATGCAAGGCAAATCTAATTATACAAATACATTACATAAATTATTATAGATTGTAGATTATATAAATTTATATCCGTTTTTAAATTTTATTTTTATAATTGTATTTTACATATACGAACTCCTTAGCTCCTCGGGTGCCGATGTAGTGGTTGGCAACCCTCTGCAATGGTACCAGTAATCTGGACAGCAGTCCTCTTCGCGAGTTCGGTTGCAAAAATCGTCGCAGTAGCACAACGTCTTGAGGATCGGCGCACTGCATTCATCCTGTCGTCCTGGGCAGCAACTACCTTCAGGATACCTCGAGGCACAATACGGTCCCGGTGGCAATCCAGAATAATCCGGGATGCCTCTCACGATAGAGGGTAAGAACACAAAGGCAATGAATACTAAATTTTGGCAGTGGGCGGTCCACATCCTGAAAGGATCATATATTTTATAATGAATACCAAATTTTTTACTAAAATTTTTGTATGTTTTCTCCTTTTAGTATTTATTCTAATTTCTACATTTTGTTTTAATTTCAGACGTATCTAATTTTAAATAGTTTAATTTACTCTATGAAACTTCCGAGAGAGTCCTTCCGATAACTTCGCGCAACTTCGAGAGACACCAATGTCGCATAACCAGGTGTGCTCAAGCGGTATGTAGAGTTCGGTAACAACTGGCAGTTGACAACAATAACGTTGCCAAGAGTTTGCAATGTTGGGGGGCCGGCCGCGAGACGCGTCATCCCGTCTGCTTTGGAACGACTTCAAGGTGTTGGCAGCTTAAATGCCGCATGATTCGTCATGAAACATTCTAGAGAGAATGATAGAAGTCTTTCTAGACTTGTGCAACATCCCCACGAATAGCATTCTATCGAACAAATTCTATCGTCAATCTCTCTCTTTGACTTCTAATTCTTTTAAATCTGTTTTTACAGCTGTTTTTTATAGC